TCAGTTTGTGGGCGGCAGAGTTCTGAATAAGCTGGATCTTGCGAATGGTGGCGCTGGGGAGACCATCGAGGAGTGCGTTGGAGGAATCCAGGCGGGAGGTGACAAACGCATGCACGAGAGTTTGGGCTGCATTTGGGGTAAGGTACAATGGAGGCAGGCCAATGTGGCGGAGGTGGAGGAAGCCGGTCCTGATCAGGGACCGGATGTGGGGGAGGAAGAGCCGGGGGTTGAACTGGACGCCTAAGTTACGCACTGGTTCGGTGAGTCTGAGGGAGAGCCCAGGAAGGTTGAGGAGCTTAGACCCGCAGGAGTGAAGACATCGATGGGAGCCAAGGAGCATGGCTTCCGTCTTGTCCACATTCAGCTGCAGGAAGTTTACACTCATTCAGGTCTTAATGTCTGCCAGACAAGCTGATAGAACGTCGGGGGGACCTGGAGTTGGGACTGGAGGAGGCAAAGTGTGTTATCCGCATACATGTGGAAGTTTACCCTGTGTCTGCAAATGACGTTGTCCAGAGGGAACATATGGATAATAATAATGATAATAATCCTTGCAGTTGATATAGCACTTTTCACATCTTCTAGATGTCTCAAACTTCACAGAATGCTCTGTAACTATGAATTGACTGTATATATTTGTGGGTGAAATGCGGCAGCCAACTGCGCGCAGCAGTGTCCCACAAACAATCGTGGATTGACATTGACCAATTTATTATTGTTGTGTTTTTTTCCTGAGGGATTATTATCAGGCGCGCGGAATAAGGAAACTCGCCCAAGGTTTCACACTGCCGGAAAGCGAACCCAGGTCTCTTTGTGATCGCTTCCCAGCGAACTGTTTCCATTTACCTAAGGAGTGGACGGGCAGCCTATTCCCGGTAACAGCCGACTAATTTGAGATACGTACGGTACACAGTAGCACTTTCGTTTTGAGTTTTGCCATGAAAAGTTGTGACTGGGTCTCTGCTCTGTGCAGTGTGATCATCAGAGCTCTGTTTATCTCTATCCATGAATTTATTGATCGAGTGAATATATTGGATGAACCACCACCACCACAACTTCAAGATTCCATTTATAGAGCGCCTTTCACGTCGGGAGGACGTCCCAAAGCGCTCCTATTGTATGCACCAGTACATACATCAGGAGCTTCAAACGAGTTTTGCAGATGCCATTGGAGCTCCATTCACGCGGATTATATCATCCGGGCTTTTCGGTATCTTGCTGAGTGTGATAGCACAATAATAATACTAATACAATAATAATATTCACAACGCTTGCACTTGATACACCGTCCTACCACATTGGCGCGACCTCTCAAAGCGCTTCACAGGACTTGCTGTTAAGTTGAGTGACTGTGTGGCTCGTGGATGGAAACAGCTGTCAATTTTGTACATAGTGATGTGCCATAAACAGCCATAAAGTGAATGATTAATTTTACCTGGGGGATTGGAGTCCTGTAGCTCAGTGGTTAGAGCACTCGCTTTGCAGGCGAGACACCTGGGTTCAATTCCAGGCAGAGGGCGAAACCTCGGGCAAGTTTCCTTACTCCACACAGAGCCTAATAATAATCCCTCCAAAACAAAACAATAATAAATCGGTCATTTTCAATCTACGACTGTTTGTGGGACATTGCTGTGCGCCATTGGCCGCCGCGTTCGCCCACAAATATACAGTCAATTCACTTTACAGTGTGTTCTGCGAAGCGCTTTGGGACGTCCTCCTCCCGACGTGAAAAGCGCTATATCAAATGCAAGGATTATTATTATTATATCAAATGCAAGGATTATTATTGTTGGCCAGGAGACTGATAGTGCTGGTGTGTTTAACGCTTGCCTGGGCACAGATGGGGAGCTCAATTTAAAGTCTCACAGCTTTTGCCCACCAAACGTACACTCAATTTAGTTTACAGTACGAACGTGGACTCGAAAGGTTGACTCACTTTCCTTTCTCCGTCGATGCTGCCTGCCCTGCTGAGTGTTCCCAGCGACTTCTGTTTTTGTTTCAGATTTCCAGGTTGCGTCTGCAGCATTTTGTGTTTTGCGGTCACTTTACAGCGTGTCCCCCGAAGCGCTTTGAGACGCCGAGAAGACGTGATAAGGCGCTGTATCAAACGCAAGGATTATAAAGAACGGCTTCAATAATTCAGCGCTCTCATCCCCACCCACCCCATTCAGCACTGCATTAGAGCATCAGCCTGGACTCTGATGATGATGATAATAATAATAATATTGCGTTTGATTTAGCGTCTTATCAAATCGTTGAGACGTCTCAAAGCGCTTCACAGGATATACTGTAAAGTGCAGTGAATGTCTGTTTTGCGGTAAAAAAAACGCAGCAGCCAGTTTGTGCACAGTAATGTTCCGCAAACATCCATGGCGTGAGTGACCAATTTTATTTGAGGATTTGTTGGCCTGGCAGAGAGAGAGAGAGAGAAACTTCCTTCTTTGCTATAGTGCCTTATCAAGTTGGAAAGACATCTAAGTGCACATAAGGATTATATCACCTGAGCACTCCAACGTCCATAGCGATAGCCGTGATATCTTGTGTGTGCCGTGTTATCTCGGATCTCACTCATTCCGGGCACCATATACCAAAGGTGATGGCTTGTAAACTGCGATTTCATTGTAATACATCTCACTGATAAAGGCCTGAACAGAATGCTTTCATTTACCTTAGGAACACCGAGGGCAGAGAGAGTATACAGGGCGGAACAGAGTGTTTATTGAGTTGGGTGGGGAAACGGATCATACTTTATGGTGAGGTCAAGTGCAAGTGCAGCGGTGGAACTGCAACTGAGGGCTTCGAGAAAGGGTTTGGCCCTTGCTCGGGAAACAGCAATATATACTGATAATAAATAATCTATGTTTTTGATATCATTGGCAGATGTTCCACGGCGTACACCATAAAGTGTAGTTACTGTGTGCATTTTGTGGGCGAAAAGTGGCAACCAGTTTGTGCACAACAGTGTCCCATAATAGGACCGGGGAAGCTTGGTTTAACGTCTTTCGGCACCTGCAGCAATGAAGCAAAGATCCCCACACCCCACAAACCCCCACCCCACCCCCCCACCCCAAACACACTCCAACTCTGTACTGGAGCCTGAGCTGAGACTGCTAGCGTAGTGGTTAGAGCACTCGCCTGGCAAGCGAGAGGACCTGGGTTCAATTCCTGGCAGGGCAAGGTTCCTTACTCCACACACCTCTGTTTACCCAGTACAGGACTCATAGGGACTTTCAGGTAAATGAAAGCAATCCAAAAAGAAAATGAAATTTGGTCACTCAATCTATGACTTGTCTGTGGGACACTGCTGTGTGCAATTGGCTGCCGTGTTTTGCCCACAAAAGAACACAGTCACTACGCTTTACAGTACATCCTGCGAAGCGCTTTGAGACGTCTCCACGAGGTGATGAAGTGCTACATGAAATGCAAGGATTATTATTGTGATGTGATTGATGTAGTCAGGAGGGATGTGGGAGATTGTGATATGTGGGTCAAGCTAATGAATAAATCCTTGTGAGACATGTATCTGATAACATTTGATGAGGAGGTTTAGCTCAAAGGTGTGCGTGCAGGATGGCACCTCACACACAGCCATCAGCTGGGCTGGGGAGACCCAAGACCATCACTAATACTATTAATCCCACCTCTGCTCTGGGTGGGCTCAGGGTGTGTGGGAGCTTTGCTGTGCGCAAATCGGCCACTGAGTTAGGGTTAGGGTCATATCGCACCTGAAGACTTTACCTCCATGACCACGCCTTCGGTCACCTCCCCTCTCTGCCCAGATTAACATTAAACTACGCTGCTGTGAAGTGCTCCGAGACGCTACGTGAAAGCTGCTGTATAACACTGTATATGCTGCTTTTCTGACTGGAGTGAAGTGTACAGTGGCGTCCCCCAGGGATCGGTATTAGGACCACTGCTCTTCTTAATATACATAATGATCTGGACTTGGGTATAGTATAGCAAGTACCATCTCCAAGTTTGCGGACGACACAAAGTTAGGGGGGGCGGTAAACAGTGAGGATAGCAGCCAACTGCAGGAAGACATAGACAGATGGTAAAATGGGCGACACGTGGCAGATGAGTTTCAATGTGGAGAAATGCGGGTAATGCATTTTGGTAGAAAGATTGAGGGGCAATATAGGCGGTAATACCATCTTAAGGGGGGGGTAAAAGAACAGAGAGACCTGGGGGGGCAGGTAACTGAATCCTTGAAGGTGGCAGGACAGGGAGATAAGGCTGTAAAAAGGGCATATGGGATACTGGGCTTTATAAATAGGGGCATAGAGTACAAGAGTCAGGAGGTGATGATTAACCCATATAAACACTGGTTAGGCCTCAGTTGGAACACTGCCCCAGTTCTGGGCACCGCACTATAGGAAGGATGTTAAGGCATTGGAAAGGGTACAGAGGGGAGTTACGAGGATGGGACCGGGAATGAGGGACCGTGATGATGAGGAAAGGCTGGAGAGGTGAGGATTATTCTCGTCGGAGCAGAGAAGGTGACGAGGAGACCTGATAGAGGTCTTGAAAATCATA